CTTCCCGGTTTGACCAAGTCCTGGCAGTTCCAATTTTCACGGACCCGGATATCTAGGCCCAAAAATAGGAACCAATGGCCAAGCACCAGGGCATTATATGAACCCTCACACATGTGAGGGCCAGGTATCGAATATTGATTATTTATCTTTGAAACCCTAATACTTTGCTTGTATCTCTTTGCTCCCACACTTACTTGATCGTCAGAGTGTCTTGCATGTACAACCCCTTCTTCCTCCTTAACTTTCCAGCTTGTCTGAAGATCATCATCCAGCCACCTTGCAGGTTCTGATCAACCAGTAAGATCAGTAACCTCTCAAATAAACGACAGGGCTTGCTCGACCACAGAAGCATGTTGAGATACGAACATAGCCCCCCGCCAATAACAAAAAGCGGGTTTTCACTCATTGGTCGAGTGGAACCTTAGCCCGACAGAGACACCTTGACCGAGCTCCACCGTCAAAGTACCCAATAGGAAGAACACCCAGCTCACGATGGGCAGTTCACGCCACGAAAGCCAAGATCCCGACCACGATCTTGACCTCTTCTGTACGGGCTCTTACTCCACTTCCTCGACAAATCCCAACATGTGACGACCGCAACTAAGGTCGAGTATAAACCTCCACTTATTAAAATTCCACATTTCCTGAAATAAATAGATCAAGCACAATAATAATTGAACACGCAAAACATAAGAGAAAAACAAAAGCATTAGAAAGTCGACTACGAAGGTCGATTTTGTCTATACAATATCAAAAGGGGGCACGCAGACCCAAGCTAAAACATACATAAAAAATGGGCAAAGCCCCTTGTCTGAAATAGTTAACAAGGCTGGCACGCAAGCCAAATAAACAAACGGGCACATAGGCCCAAAAAATTTATCTTGGCTCCCATCATCCTCTCCATCACTCTCTTCCTTGGGATTATCCTCGGGGGGATAAAATATCTTCCTATTGACCACCTAGTTAAACGGCCATGCACCTTCGACCATAAGCTAGACCCCTTCGTTGATGATCTTAAGCTGCTCCACAGCCGTGTTGAAGCCATAACAGAGAGTATCCACGACGTCCTGCTCAAGCACACAATTCTGAGCAATCAAGTATTTCCTAGTCTCAAAGGCTTTCTTCGTGTCAGACTCTTTATTGGCAGGCGCCATAATCTCCTCCAACTTCTTTACCCGAGCGGCCAGTTGCCCGTTCTCCTTAGTCGCAGCCTCCAATTAAGGCCTTAACTCGTTCAAATCCTTGAGGAGTTGGACCTGTGATTCATACTTCGTCTCATGATTGAGAATACTAGCCTTCAGCTTCTCATTAATCCCCTTCAACTTTTGGATTTGGGAATTAGCTTTATCTAGGGAGGCTTGAGAGCCCGCGGCTTCATCATTCAGTGTCAAAGCGGTTTCGAGAACCCTCATCATGGCGGCCACATCTTCTGATAGATTCTTGGGCCTCAACTTGAGCAAACGTTCATAGAGAGTCGCCATCTGGCCTGCAATCAAAAGAAACTATTAGTCCACGAGAAAAAAGTACGAACATGAAATTACGGGCACGTCCCCTACCTAAAAGTCTCAAATCCTCCTCATCAGAGGAGCATTCAAGGAGTGCTTTTGTGTTAATTAGTCAAGTAACAAAGAGATGTCTCCCTTTATCATCAAAGAGGAAGTTATTGTCTACATCCACACACTTTATCGGGGAGAATCTCTTGACATAAGCCACTAGCTTGTCGTAAGAGAGCTTATCCTGGGCATCTAAGTCCTCGGGCTTCACCGTATAACACTCGGGCTTCTGCTCAAAATTTTTCCATTGCCACTCAATAGGAAACTTCACCGTCAGTGGAGCCACTGTCCGACCATCCTAGACCTTTTTCGAGCGGTTATACAAAGAATCCACGGCCACATCAGTGAGGGGCTTCATGATGAAGTACCTTTGTTTGAAGTTTCATACATATTCCAAGTACGATCAGAAGAGCTTCTCGAATTGCTTAAATGACATCCATGTGTGCCTTTCGTCAATGGTCTGTCGTTAGAGGTGAAAGATACAAAAGAAAAGAGTTAAAGTGGCACTGATATGAAGGTACCGATAGACAAGCCCAAATGCCTGCATGAACGCGAGCGTGTTTGGATGAAGCTGAGAGGGCGCTAGTTGTAGCCATTGAAAAAACCCCCACCTGGAAATCATTGAAGGGAAAACACATCCTCGCATCCTTAAAAGAAAATTTATACATATGAAAGTGTTTTCCCGGGAAAGACAAGCATATCCTCCGACTTCGGTGAGGGATTTGGAGCGCCCAGTTTGCAGGGTCATCTTCTGCTCTGTCCTCGGGGACATTAAACGCGTCGGAAGCATCATTCACAAAACATGATCCTTTATTTAGGGGTTCGAGCGCAACCCAAACCAGGGGGTCAATCGCGGCCTCAGCTTCTCCTCCATGGTGTCGGGCACGATATTTTCCTCGACTGGTTGTGTCATCGTACCTGAAAAGTAGAGGAAAATAGTGAATTTGACATCATCAAATTCTCCCTTCCATGGCAATCAAGTGAAAGGGCGATGAGCGCATCAAGGAGCGGTCCTCAACCCAGGCCCTTGATAGCGAACACGAAGATATCTATATCCTCACGCGGAGACATTTCATTGAAAGGGCAACTTGCCCAAATCCTCCCCACTCGAAAGGAGGGACGACCTCGACACATATCAAAATGAAACTCACTAAGAGCTCATGAACCTCATTCGTATTCATGAACCCATATTAATTTCATGAATCTTCATCCCATAAACCATGAGTATTCATCCTGAATCCATGAATCTTCATCCTGAGATTCATCCATTCATAGCAAGATTCACGCATTTAATCTGAAAATTTAAGAAAAATCACGCTTAAAGATAAAATTACTTACTTGGAGGAGATGAACATGATAGCGTCTACGACGGTATTTGAGCAACAGGATAACAGGCGAACACGGGAGAAATAGGACGAGAGAGCTTGAAAATTTCAAGTGAATCTTTGATTCCCCTTTTTATAGACAGTTTCCACCACACGAGGTAGCATGTGAAAAGTCATCATTGCTTGGGCTCTTAGACTGCCCTAGGTAATGATGGCACTCCAAACACTTTCCATGTGGGGCTCGCGAAAGGATACGTCGCTGACAATAGTGTCACGTACAAAACCACGCGCCTACGATGTTTCATCCTCGTTGGAAAATGAACGCTTAACATCATTACAATGCCTTACATGTGGGCACATCGAAGACGCGCGCCCGAGGAAACTCTTCACCTCCCCGCGAATGTAGATTCCTAACGGGCACCGCATTAATACGAGCGAAGGATGAAGTTAACCAATGAGATTCTCCCAGAGCTGGTCGACCACACCACGCGTGAATTCCTGAGTCCTCCTCAATATGAATCATGTAGTTTTTCCCGACAGAAGTTGACATTTACCCCTCTTGGGCAACATTTCCCCGACACTCGATCTGATCTCAGGTTATCACCCTTTCACCTAAGGGAAATAACTTGAGGGGCTCCTGTTCTGGATTGGTCTGGCACTTGCCTCACCGTTGGGGAAGCTCAATCCAGCGCCTTTACAAAGGCCCAAAAGCATACAACTCAAACTTAGGACCGTTGGTCATTTCCCCACGTGTCCACGAATAAGAGCATGACTTGTGTCCACAACATCGTCATCCTGCCCTCTGAGAATAACATGTCCAACTTCTCTGCTTTCTCAGGGCAATTGACCAGGGAAGAGACCACGTGCTGGACTCCATACACCCATAAACCCTGACAGTCTTCATTATTAGACCTCATCGTGGCCAAACACTGAAGACCTTGGCCCAGTGTTGGGGGCCATATAAACCCTCTCACTCGAGAGGGTCAGATATCCATTCATTCACTCATTTTACCTCACTTCTGTTACTTGTACTCTGATTGTCTAGACTCTTACTTTGACATCAGAGTATCTTGCAAGTACCCCTCCCCCCGACTTCACATTTAATCGCTACTCAACTTGAAGTTCGTGGGCCTTGACGATCCCTTATGATCAGGTATGATCAGTTTACTTACTTCAATTGCAAATTAGTGTGATTCTTCCATTTTATCTTCTTCAATGTTAGGATTTTTTTTATTTGATTTGCAGTGTTAAGAGCAGTCACCTCAAATTAGTCAGTTGAACCAATTGAATCAGAAACTAAAGAAGTAATTGATTTCAATTGACTATCAAATTAGTCATATGTTCAAACGTGTGGAAACCATGAATTAACCAAAATAAAAAAGAAAAGAATAAGTGAATAAGAAATATTTGCAAATCAGAGGTATTAATATTTTTTTAACTAGTTAAATACTCGTGCGTCCGTAAAGAGATAAATTTAATTGTTATAATATATGATTCTACTATTATGAATTGGTACGAATGCAATTTATCGTAAGTAAATATAAATTTAAATAAAGGTTTAAATTATAGTTATTTTTGTAGTTTATAATATTTTTTATTAAAAAAAATTAATGAAATTTTAAATTGAATATAAATTATAGAAAATAAAGCTGACTCTTTTTTTCTTATAAAATTTAAAACTTATTTAAAAAACTAACAAAATTTTAAATAGAATTTTTTTCTTTAAATAAAATTTATACAAAAATAACAAAATTGTATCACTACTCTTTTAAATACTAAAATCAATCCTCTTGAATACAACTTTGAAGAATAGGAATAAAATCACAAAGACATTTTGCTAAATTGTACAAACCATAGCTTTTTAGCCCCAAAGTCTATACATCATGTATTGCTGATATATCTCTCTTTTGTTCATTCCATTTGATAGCATAAACAAGTATCATAGACTAACACTCGAGTTAGTCCTTGAAATTGTATGATCGTTATCAACATAGTCTTCCACGTTATCGATAACGTGAATGACCAGATTGACACGCTCCTACAATTTCAATTGGCAATTTGAGTATTTACTCTACTCAAAGGCTCAAATCATCTCACCATCCGATTTTGCCGAAAAACTACACTATGTTACACGAAAACTCTCTTTCATCCATTTTGTCAGCACTTCCATTCCAGCTTCTGCAAAAGCATTCCATGCAGACTGATATAGCCTCTGATCCAAACCAGTTCCTTCCATTTTCATATCTTGTAAAAGCTTCACCAACTCATCAACCTTACCAAGTTTTGAGTACACACCAACCATTATCCCTGCCATAGCTTTATCAATCACACCTTTGTTGAGTCTATACTCATTATAAAGCTTCACACATTTATCAAACTCTTCTGCTTTACAATAAGCACCAATCATACTTGTGTATGTAATCTTATCAGGTGCTACTTTTCTTCTCTTCATTTCATTCCAAACCTTCTCTATCTGCCTCAAATTCTTCTCTTTTCCGTGCATGTCGATTAACGAATTGTAAATCCATACATTCGGTTTGCACCCTTTTTCTTTCATCTTAGCAACCAACTTCATCGCATTTCTTAACCTACCAGTTTTTCCATACATCACAATCATGCTTGAGTATGCCACAACACATTTATCGAACCCCTTTTGTATCATCTCCGCGAAAACATTCTCAGCTTTGATGTATTGGCCTAGACGACAATAGGCGTTTATAATCGATGCGTACGTGACTTGACCGGGTTCATAGCCTTTTATAATCAGTTTCTCGAAAACCTTAACCGAAGACAAAAAGCCTCTTCTTTTGCTAAAACCATTGATGATAGCACATAAAACGCAATCAGAAACCTTGACATCGGCCTCCTTCATCGCCTCAACAACTTCCAATGTCTTGTCCAACAAGCCTTCTTCAACATACATTAACACAAGCTTTAAGTACACCTCGGGATCCCTTATCGTCGTTTTGCTTCTAGCTTCGGTTACAAGTTTCTCAACAACCTCAACCTCACGCAAGCTCGCGAAAGAACATATCAATGTAGAGTAAATCGAGTATTCGAAAACCCCTTTCTTAGTCATATCTCTAAAATACTCTAATGCTTCAAAAGGCCTTCTAGATTTCCCTAATGACTCACATAGAACACCATACATTTGACCTAAACATCCATTCGAGTCGCTTAATTTCTTACTTTCTAACTCACTAAACAATTCAACAACTCGATTGCAATTACCAACTCTCGAATAAGCTTCCATAACAAGTAAATAGCATCTCGAATCCAAAACAACATTATCCGATTTCATTTTCTCAAACACCAAAATAGTTCTCCTAAACATATGAAGCTTATTATAACTCTCCAAACCAGAACCAAAAGCCAAAACACCAATTTCACTATCAGAGCTAAAAGCATCAAGAAAACTCTCAGCAATCTTGAATTTTCTATTCTTAATGCAAAAACTAATCAACCTAGAACAAGTAGCAACATCAGGGAAAACATGATAAACCTTAAAATCTTCACAAACTGATAAAAAAAACTCCCATTTCTTGAATCTCAACAAGTACCTTATCACATGATTCAAAGTAGATTTCTTTGGTCTAAACTCTGGTCTCTTTTTGAGTCTTTGATAGTACTCAAAAGCAAGTTCATCTTTTTTTGAATCCTCAAACAGCCCACGTAGAAAATCATTCAAATTCTGATCAATTTCCGGCTTGGAGTATTTCTTAGGGTCAGAGAAGTTAACATCTAGATGGATCAAAGGGGTGTTGGAGGAGTGTTCTTCTAAGATGGGGATGTGAGAAGAAGCTGAGAAACTTGCATGGAAGAGTTTAGTATTTGAGGTGGAAATTGAGCTGAAGGAAGGGAAATGGCACATGGGGATGATGAATGCATGCAAGTTTAAGGATGTTTTTGTGTAGTAACATTTGGTGCAAGGTAGAGACCAATCTGAGGAACATGATGAAATGACCATAACAAAGTGTGGTTTTTGGAAAGTGTCGGAAGAGAAAATGTTTGTGTGTGTGAAGTGTGGTTGGAACATGATTATGGTTCTATCCGAATTAAGGATATCTCAACTATGGAGTTAGCTAACCAATAGAAAAATGACACGTGGCGTAGAAAAATCTTACATTTTCATTTTTAGCTTATATGTGTAAGCCACGTTAATCTGTAGTAGCCATGTTCCTCAATTTTATAATATGCTTTTCTTTAAGGTTAATAAATATAAATTTAGTGATTGTTTAATAAAATTCTCAACATTTTCTTATAAAATTCCAGGTAAGTTTTTAATAATTATTGTCATATAATAAAAAATAAAATATTTTTTATTTAAATAAAATATTTTTTACTTAAATATATGTATAGGTTATTTGAACACCTAATATTTAACATTTTATCTTACACTATATCTCAACAGTATATTAATGTTTCTATCTTTTATTACTTTTTCATTTCATACACTTATACGAATTTCAATAATATATTACTATATCTAAAAATTACACTTCACGCATTTTTTACTTTCAAAATATTATTTCTCTAAATACTCCATTTATTATCATTTACTGTGTGTAGTATGGACTTCAAATATTTTAAAATAAATTGATTGTATTATTAATTAAAATTATATTTAAAAAGATATTTAATAATTAACAATATATATTTACATAAAAATATTTTTGTTAACAAAAAAATTTTACGTGAATTTTAAATAATTAGTCTATAAATAATAAAAAATCAAAACTAATTTTTTTAAATGCATATTTCATATTCATTAAAAAAAATTCTTAAATCAGAGAAAAAGCGTCACCGCGCGTTATTGTTTCCAAATGAATGGGAAAAGAGCGAATAACCCAAAAAGTGGAGGAGAGAATCTAAGTTCGGGAGTTGGTTATGTAAAGGGAATGTATTAGCACCCTAAACATCTACGGTACTCTGCAGGAACCTATTTGGAAGTTTGTGTATTTTGGCTATAAGAGTTGTATACAAAAATAGATTGTGGGGATGAGAAAAGAAATATTTTTTTATAATTTTTGCACCCGCCGCGGTTGTGAATATTTAGTGCCTACGTACCATCTTCCGTGCAATAAGGGTACTCGTAGTTCACCTTTAAAAAATTTAAAACACAAATGTGTTGGTTAATTTTAAGAGATGGGAGTTATCCGAGTGGAAAACATACTTACTACCCATAATTATGAGAAATGAGAATTTGCGTCATCTCAAAATGGAGGATATAGCTTGAATTTTAAAATCAACAAAGTCTCGTTCAACACCCAAGTGAAAAATATCTCACTTCACTACATATCGTAGAAGTATAGTAGCTCGCATCACTACAAGAATCGACAAGAGTTTGGTCTTTTGAGAAAAGGTTTTAAGGTAAAAAGTCAAAATGACAAAATGATTTGAATGAGGTTGATTGACTTTTAGTCTTCTCACAAAAAATGTCAAAGTATGATTAAGTTGGTTAAAATTTGATTAAGAAAATATTTTGAAAATGCGTGGACCTAAGTCCAAGTTTATTGTGAAAGTAGTTCAAGTTTAAAAATAAGAAGAGTTTTCAAAAGGAGGGAGAAGATTTTTGAAATTAAAGAAAGTGGAAGGAGATGAAGGGACTTTCCTAAAGCATAAGGTAAGAGTTAGGGAAAAGAACCGTCTAACCAACAAGGAGCCAACACTTGACATAATGAGTCAATGTAGAATTCTCATCCTTTGGATTGAAATCAAACAAGCAAGGATATTAAACCTCTTAAGAAAACCAAGCTTCAAAGGCATTAAGTCTTCACAAAAATTGGGCAGAGTAACGGCTGTATACAGATAAATTCTCGATCACAGACGAAGCATATAATCAGAATAACCTGCACACAAAGAAAACAAACAACCCAATGTCTTAGGATAAATAGACAAAATAGCAATAGAAGTCATTGAGTCTCAAGGTAGGTCAAGGTCTCTACTCCTAGCTCCAAGAAGTTCATAACCCCAATGTCAAGGATAGTAACCAAATAGTCCAGGTAACATTAAAGCTTTTTATAGTTCAAGTTAGTTATTAGGTATCTTCAAAAAGAAAATGAAAGCTCAAATGAGCAAAGATGAAAATAGCATGAAATGTAAATGCTAAAATAAATGGTGCGTAAAAGTAAAGGCGTAAAGTAAAAGCATAAAGACAAAAGTCAACTTTTAATGAGTTAAAGATTAGAGGTTAGTTGAATGACCATCTTGAAACGTGCATTTGAAAACTCGTTAGAAGATTGATAAAATCAAAGTCTGTCAACAACAAGTTTTAATTGCTTTTTGTCAAGTATATCATTTATTTCAAATTCTCGAGGCGACAATAAATGATCAACGTTGTTTAAGTGATTCACTTAGACCAAAGTTTATGAAGGTTCATTAGAGGATTGATAAGACCAAAGCCTCCTAACAATGAATCTCAAGGTTATTGGATCAAAGGTTTCAAATTAACATACTTGGACTTGCAAACATGAGTTTGGGCCACGAATGATCATTTCTCGAATCAGAACAAAATTCATCGCTATGTTAAGCAATCGTAAGTGGACTTATATAGAAGCCGCACCTATTTTGAGGTCGGTCAATAGCAATTTATGTGCCATATGTTTGGAGAGATAATATGTAGATCATCTTCTAAGAACATGTAGCACAATGCAAGAATAAGAAAAGAGAAAAGATTAACAAGAATTAAATTTCACATTTGAACCAAAGAATTTAATCAAGTTATTATTAAAATCATTCATCCATTTTTGTGGAGTTAAACTCAACACCATAGATCCAATAATGTTAATAAAGCTCATGATTAAAATTTCACATAGTCCAAGATCAGCCAGAATATATACAAAAATAAAATTGCATTAATCAATCAAAATAGAATTGAGAAAATTAATTTTTTTAATTATTTTTTTAAATGAGAATACCAGTTCAAATAACAAACTATATTCAAAATATCAAAGAAAAAAGACTAAATAAAAGTCATAAATGAGCTCAAATATTTTTACAAAATTTTTGGTAATTTTTTAAAACATAAAGTATTTTTAAATTAATTAAAATCACTCAAATGAATGAAAAATGATTAAAAATAGAAAAAATTAAAATTAAATTCCATAAAAAATACACTAAGTCAGAAATGAGATAAATGAATTTTGTGAATTTTTTCAGAATTTTGGACGAAAATTGAATTTACAATGGATTTTTGAAGTTTTAAAATGAATTAACAAATAAAAGTAAAAATAAATTAAAACAGACTAATTGTAGCCATTAGATCTGGTCAACTCCAGTATAGTAAACATATCAGGAGATCCAGATCTGTAGACCCATGATAACATGGTACATTTGCAGGCATAGAATCAATTGTAATTATCATCTTCTCCGATGAGGACAAGTGGCACCGGAGCCACTTGTTACTCACCGGATGGCCACACGAATCCCTGTGTAGGGAGGGGAAAGGACAATAACATTAGTAAACCAAACAGGTTTATGTTATCAGAAAAGAAAAATCGACATTAATTCTTATTCATTTCATTCTTTGTTTGTATTCCTCTCTCTCTCTCTCTCTCTCTCTCTCTCTCTCTCTCTCTCTCTCTCTCTCTCTTCCATATATCATCATTATTACTTCTTTAAAACAAAAACAAAAACAGAAAAAGAAAGATAAAGGAAATGAGAGGCGTCCGAAGAGTGAGAAAGGCGCGACGGCGACCGGCCAGCCTTACGGCGGCGCCGTCACGAAAAGCATCTGATCCAATTTTTTTACATCTTTTGAATCATTTTCTTTCTCTCTGTTCAAATCCAAAAACAATTTTGAGAAAAAACTTTTGAATCTCAGTGAATCTGGAAAAGGGTTTTTGGAAAATCTAAGTTAGAAATAAATAACAATCCACACAAGAAGGAGACTTAGAGCATGGATTCGGGTTCAGAAGTGAGTTATCAACCTTTTGGGAGAGAAATGAAGGAGAAAGAGGATTCTGGCGCGGTGACTGCGATTTTTGGCGCGGTGATTGCAATTTCCGGGTGAGATCTTTTCGATTCTTGTAACTTCTTCTTTCTCTGTAATCTGAATCTGTGAATTCTGAAAACAAACAATTTCTAAAGGGTTTGAGATTTTTGGAAAATGATGATGAGATTGGTTTTTTCACTGTGATGGTGGTGCGTATTTTTTTCCTGATATTTATTAACTGTTTTCTTTGAATACAATTGATTGTTTTTTTATACTCATGTGGCGATACGGTTTTGCTGTGATATTGGGACTCTAAGTTAATCTTTGACAGGCTTGTCTGTGAATTTCCGCGGGCTTTGATTTTGTGATTCTGTTTTGTTTCTTTAGGTTGGAGCCTACAATTTTAGCCTCTGTGACTTTACTGCAAAATTATTTTTATTGTGATTATGTGGCCCTTTTTTACTGAATTTCCAATGACTTTGTACCTTTGATCTGTCTTACTGTGAACCAACATGTTTGTGATTTGTAGTAGGAATTAGGCTCATGATTGAATTATTGAAACTGATTATATTGTGAAACAAAAGTATGAGGCCTCGTGAATTTGTTTGTTGTAACAATTTGGGCTAGAGCTATAACATCTCTGTATTGTCTGTGATTCTGTACTTCTTTGGGTAGAGTCATGCTATTTCTGTACTATAGGTTGTACTACTGCAGTTTGTACCTCTTTATTTTTTACCTCCTTTTGAGAACCAAAAATTAAAAGTTTTTTTTTTTGTGATTTTCAATAGGAGTTGTGGGCCTATGATTTGTAATTCTGATCTTGAAATGAACAAGTATGAGGCTTTGAATGTTGAGCTTGAGCTGACTGAATACTTCTTAAATTTCTAATTTCTTGCAAAAAACCCTAATGATGAGATTGTAAAACTTTTTCTTGAAAATTCCTTCTTGCTCATATTTTGATTATCTTACTAACCATGTCTCTTTCCTTCTTTTTTTTAGCAACAACAAATGGTGAGGCATGGAGATAAGGTAATGGAGTGAAGAAGAAAAAAAGCTTGGAAGGACTCAGGACATTGCAAACTTGATGCAAGTTGTGGAGGATGCCCTAGTGCCATGAACAATCTGATACCTGGCATGTTGGTCTTTCACTTGGTTCTTCTCTCATTCTTGACAAATTGAGCATTGTTAATTGCATTGTAGGACAAGGTTAAACATGGTGAAGAATAGAAACAAATGGGACAGCCTTGTACTAGTTTGAAATACACTAGGTTTAGAAACTTTTTTTTCTATACTTCAAACAAGTTTGTAAAACCTTGATTTCTTTGTGCAACCTTTTTATGTAATTTATGAGATATTTTGCATCATCTTTGAAGTTTGAGTAGAGAGACATGAACCTTGAATGTATCTAGGATTTGCACAAGAGAATTTTAAAGACGTGACTTGGTAATTATGCCCAAAGAGGTCTTGTATTTTCATGATGAATGCTTTTGAAAAGTTGAATTTGGAATAAGACTTGAAAGAATTGATGTTGATCTTGCAATAAAGAAAATTGAATTATAATAATGCTTGGAAGCTTGACTTTGAGAATGGAAACTTGAAATAAACTTTGTCTTGTAATTTCCTTTTGACCAATGGAATCAATAGTCTTGAATTTGTAATTTGGCTAAATGAGAATGCTTTAAATTTCAAGCAACTTCCTTTTGAGAAATTTTTGTAGATGAACCTGAATTTTCTTTAAATAATCTTTGAAATATACTTCTAATGAATCAAATGAACGTGATCTTGATAGACAAATAAGTGCCTTAAGAACCTTAGTCAAAATTCAAATTCAATTCAAAAATTGTCAATGCTTCAACATAAATGATTTGTATCATAAGCGATAAACAATCGATGAACCTTTAAACTTGAAGTTTTATGTCATAAATCTTGACTTGAATGACCACAAGAATGATCCTTGAAGAAGAACGTATGGCAACATAGTCTTCAACTCAAATGATTAAGAAACTTTCTAAAAAAAGACTCGTAAAGTTTCAATACATTCCTTGGCTTTCCAAGCACAATTCGATTTAGACCCTTAAAGCAAGTTTATAAATAACTCCATTTGCGACATGGTGCAAAAAGAATCACCCCAAAATGATGAAAATTGAACGAGTTATGATCCTTGAAAGTTGGACGAAAATCAATTGAAATTAAGTCAAAGTAAAAAACGACCTCTAATATACTCAAACTTTTAATGGTCCTCTTCACACAATTAACTCTCGACTTGTAAAGAGAAATTGGAGATGATGTCAAGAAGATTCATATGCTCGAAGAATCAATCAAAAATACTGAATAATTAAGAAGTTATGACCATTTGAACTCGAACTTGCAAATATTGACTTTCAATCAACCAACTTTGAATTAATTGCAGACTTGATCTTTCTTCACAACCAGAAGCACTCTTAATCGCACATGGACTTGAAATAATGAAGTCTTGATTATATCATGCCCACACCTGTCTGGACTTGAGAGTACTCGTCGAAGAAGGCATAAAAATAAACACATGAACCTATCTCAAAGAGTCTTGAGAATTAAACTACCAAACTCGCATTAACAATGCTGAACGAAGCTTGAGGATAGCGTGACCTAAGATTATAGGTCACCACTCTGAAACATAGACTTTTGGAGAACCATCTTTGACCTGAACAAACCACAATCCTAATCAGAGAGTCATCACCTGAATTTCTTGATCGCAAACCCTGTCTTACAAGAAACAAAATAAACAAAACATATTTTTGGATTTTAGTTAGAGGTCATTAAAATATAAAGCACATATATACAAGATACACGATTCAATGTGCTTGGTGATCTCTTCAAGAGCAAACTTAAAGATAAGACACTGTAGAAGAATTACTCAAACCCTAATGCATGATCTTGTTCAATTGTGATAGTATGAGATGATAGAGGAATCTTAGGAACAAAAATTGGAGTATAACACTATGTATCCATTGGTCCAAGATTAAATTGATTACAAAATTATCATTTGTTGTGTGTGGTATGGACTTTTTATATTTTAAAATAAATTAATAGTATTATTAACTAAAATAATGTTTAAAATATAATGTAAATTTACATTAAAAAAAATTCTCCATGAAAATATTAATTAGCTATATTCATATTTTTGTTCATTACAATAACAATAAGTTTTATTATGATTAAACAATTGATATTTGACTTAATTACGGCTTTTGATCTCCTGTTTTATTCCATGCTTTAAAGTAGTTCTCATGATTATTGTGCGATGTGGCATGTCATCAATATAATATATATATATATATATATATATATATATATATATATATATATATATATATATATATATATATATATATATATATATATATATATATATATATATATATATATATATATATATATATATATATATATATATATATATATATATATATATCATCAATTCTAGTACATAAATATGAAGTGGCCAAAAAAATTTGCATTAAAAATAGATTACTAATTCGTGTTAATGAGGTTAAATAAGGATCAAATTTGCAATTTTCACAAACTAAGCTACTCATCACTTTTAAAAGGAAAAAGATTGTTCATATTTTAAGGATTTATCAACTAAACTCACAATTATTTAGTAAATTGTGAATTTGTGATCCTACAATTTTTTGACATCTAAACTTTATTTACAAGATAAAGTTGGTTTAGGTGAAACTATACTTAGATTTTAAAGAAAACTATATATTTCATTGGATGTAAATAGAGAAAAACGAACTAGTTGATAGAAGATATCTACTAAAATGACCAATGAAAATCCACACCAAAGACTAAACATACGTGAAGTCCATTTATAACACAATTAATAAACAAACAAAAAAATACTAGAACTATGTAGAATGCAAGTTCTCTTAAATACTATAATCCAATCATAACTTTTCAAGAAGTTAACTTTCAAACTAATTATTTAATGAATTACATTCAACAATATAGCCAACATGGGTTAGCTTTGTTTTTGTTTGGCGCTAGCAAGATTCATGTTGCAATTAAGTCAGACGTGAACAGAGAAAGAACAACTATAAGTCATAACCTCCATTCAACCAATAAGTCAAACCAAATAATCAATTACTAATTGGCTGGTGGTTCATACTAAAGATGAAATCATTGTTTCACATCTTCTCAAACAAAGTATTCATCAAAAGCTAGAACCACTGGATTGCACAACCAACTTGAAGGTTTTCTATTAATCACTCTGAAATCCCAGAAAATCTAAACAAGGTATGCCTTCTTTTATCATTAAATATTATAGCAGCAATTTCATACCCAATTTTCAATGTTTCTGATGTTTTTCTTTTGGTTGTAAAGAGTATTCAAAGCGTAGCATTTCATACCCAATTTTAGTACATAATCAATTAATTAAAGATGCTTAATTTGAAAGATCAAACAGCAACAAAAAAAAAGACAGAATATGGTGAAGAAATAAAAATCATTATTAAAGAAGTGAAGAATAAATTTACGAACACGCAATACTTTATACAAGACATCAATCCCATTTTCCCTTATGGTAGCTCATTATATTTAATTTTGCTTAAACAGAACCAACCATAGACAGCAAATATCAGAGATAACAAAGCACAGACGTTAGATAATTTATGAAATGTCAAGTTTTGAAATCTGCAAGCCTTAATGAACTATAAAATACATGATAGAAGCCTCGTCATTCCTAGCAGAGAAAAAGACTAGCTTTCTCTGATCTAAAATTTACCGTTGGACTGAGAGAGTCAGCTAAGAATGACTCCTCTTTTCCAGGTATGTTCAATCTTCTTAGCGAATCGGGTGATACTGCGTGATACCTCGCTTAGGTGGAAGCTTCCTCAAAATGAATAGGACCAAAGAAGAAGGTAATATTTCCACGAACTGCAACAGAAATGTGATCAGGGTGAGAAGTACAGTGGGAGAGAAACAACGTCAGAGCCATACAGACACCGTTTTTTTAGTCTTTATCCTTGGAGCAAATTTAAAAATATGACCCAACAGAACACTGGCTTATCGTCGTAAATTACGCCAGTAACTTATTTCTACAAGAATTGCTAAAAGCACAACTATTGATACCTCACAATAGCAGTCCAATACCTTTCCAAATGAAATTAAGATTATCTATTAGTACAACTTTTTCTGATAAACAAAATTTCCATCTGTGATTGAAAATTTGATCAAGAGATGAGGAAACCATGAAATGGTGTTTTGAAACATATATGATTTAAATACTCTGGGTCACTTTGGTTTGATTTAAGCAGGCAAATGTTGATAAAATTTGGGTCAGAAAAATGTATACTGACTATGTTAAGGATTTCACCACTCAGCTATAATCTAAAAGCAAAATCATCCCATAAAGCACAGAATAGACCTTTTGATATTTTATATTGGAGGTTAACTCATTATTACAAAACCTATTTTTTTAAGGTGAGGGAAGTCTTCCACTTATGACCACATTTTCATGTCATATCTTATCTAATGCAAGATTCTCAACACACCCTAATGCCCAAAATTGTACATCTAGAGCATGACACAGATGGCCCAGTAGTGGGTGGCACAACGAGTTTTGGATAGGCTCTGATACCATCTTAAAATGTGTTAGGCCTAACTCAACAAAAAAAAATTGGCTAGTAAAGTGAGTAATGCCAATTTTTATAAACAATATCTATGCCTTACCTTTTTCCAATTTGGTGGGTGGGTCTATCTTAGATTTCTATATTGAACCTAGCTCATCTTTATAAAACCAACTTATAAGATGAGGGATACCTCTCACTTATAAACACATTTTCGTGTCATATTTCATCCAATGTGGGATTACAAGACCACCCAAATAAATCATAACGAAAATAGAACAATAACTAGTAACAGTAATGAGTAAACGGCCTTTAGCTCAGTGGCATCTCAGTTGGTTATCAAGGGGGATGTGGTGTTCAAGGTGGGGGCTTCCATGAACCCACACCCAATGCTCCAACTAGATCCAAAAGGGGGTCACCAATCTTACTACAAAATAACGAAACAGCAGAGTATTGGCAGTAAAAATAACCACATTTGAGAAGCACAAAATAAAACTTACCAGGTAATATATGAAGTTTAGAATAGGATGGTCCAAGACATTAAGGTCCGCACTTTTATCAAATGCATTAAAGCACATCTAACACAACAAAATACAATCAAACTCAATTTGAAAACCAACCAATAGGAATCACTAAGATTTAAAATATAAAAGGAGCTCACCATAACGCATCTGATAAGGAAACATAAAAAACATATGGTTGTCACATAGCCAACCTGAAAAGAAAGAAAAGTCACTATTGTTAGAAGTATAACATTAACTATAAAAGTTCCATTTTCAAAGTAATATTCTCTCGTTTACTTTTCCTCTCTCTCCTCTTTTATCTCTACTTAATTCCTATAACTTAAACACAGTAAAAAAAATGGCACGGGAGCATGTACAAGAGCTGGTGTCACAAAAACAAAGATTTTAACACCCCCTAAATCCTAATACCCAAAACTTGACATTTGGAGTGGGTACAAATATGAGGGTCTAATAACTGATTTAAGATAAGCTCTTATACCATCTTAGAATTTGCGCATGATCCCACAAAATCTCAAAAGCTAACTCAAGGGGCTAGAATTGCTCAAGAACTTGCAAGGACTAATTTGGCCATATCCCTGGTGGATGTGATTTCACCGGTTTCCTTTATAGAGGGAAAGGCTGTTGATACACTCAATTCCCTATTCCCACACCCTACTAACAGCCCTTAATTATCATTTTCCAAAAAATACTTACTCAAATAATTATTTTATTAGAGGTGTATTAATATTTGGAAGGGGAATCTTCACATAATAGTTGGAATCAACCTCTTACTAATTAGAACCCTAAATCCTAAACCCTGAATACAATCGAACCACATTATCCTTCTCTAGAACCTGCTATGCTAACAGCTATTAAGCCACTAGGTTGCCTTATAATACCAATATTTTTCTATCAATGTTCCACAGTATCAGTTGCCATTTTTCTAATGCATATATTCATTTTTCCATAATAACCTTTTTTTTCCTAGTTACATTTTTAATCAACATTCAAATTTTAACAAGTTATTTATTGTATTTTCTCTTTTTCGAAACATGGCATAACTAGAATTATTAGATGACCCCTGTGTTTTGAAATTTAGGTGATTTAATAATCTTAATATATATTTTATAATACGAGCTGAGGGATTTTGCATTGTATTTGGATTTTGAGGACTGAGCCACTGAGGAGTTGAGAACTTTGGTGTATAAAAATGAGAGTAAAGATGAGGGCAATTTAGGAAATTAAAATTATGAGTTGTTGGCAATTAGAAAGTACAGGTCATTAGAACTGCAAATCGTAATAGTTAGTAGTTTTATAATAGTGGGATTAGGCAGGCTTGTCTTAGTAATACTACACTCCGCCCCTGTCGTATTGCATACCTCCTGCAGCTTCTTACGCCGCCCTTTGGATTCAACAGGAAAGCGTTGCAGCATCAAGAATAGCCTATAAGAAAAACAGTCAGAAAGTGGACACACAATACAACAAGATAGGGAATCAGGGGTACTACAAAAGTGGGTATGGAATATTTGCATACACGAATAACATTCAACGTTTAACTTAAACGAACTCAATAGGAACTTGATTTAGTCTACATGCCTTAAAATTTTCTAATTTTGATAAATAAATTACACACACACACATATATATTTTTAAAAGAGAAGATAATAGAAAGAGAAAGATAAGTTACAGTTATTAACAAAATAAAGTTAAGCAGCAAGTCACAAAAGCTCAAAAATGCAAAGCTGTTCAATCTTTCTGCATATCTGACAATCGATCCTTTAAAAACCAAGAGAAGAAGATTGGAGGAGCCATAAGGCAAACAAATAGACACCAATACCAGTACTCAGAAAATGCACCCCTAAGGCCCTAAAAATAAACTCCAAATGACTTGCATGAGCCGATGTGATACAGTGCTATCTTGTACGTTGTAACCTAGATGCAATAAGTTTCATTCCAAATAGCATCAAAGGGGGTTGAAAATCCAAAAAAAAATATTATAGTACCTTCCACCATAGAGAAGAAAGCCAAGGGCAGCAAACAAAGAAACCCCTATTGCAACATGTATATCATATTAATAAGCAGAAACTCATGATAAATGAAGAGGATTGAAGGTCAAACAAAATTTTAAACAGACAAACCTGCAAAGAACATCTTAGACAGAATGACTAATACACTGACTGGTTTCCACCATAATATCAACCACAAAATGATCTGACATACATAAACAAAACAAAAAACAAGATGGGTCATTCAACAGCCTCAAAACTGGTGAACATGAAAGTAACAACCATGCAACACTTTCAATAAATATAGAAATCAAGACTAATGGCACAAAAGCGACTCTTTTTTATAGGCAAATGTTAGTTAGTAGTCATGATAGGCAAAAAAATAGACTTACTGAATATTAAAGGTCAATAGTTAGAGATCAGTTTGAGTCTTGAGGACATGACTGGTAAATGGTAATAATAGTAACAGCGCAGATTTTTAAATATTTAGTAAGTCCCATTCAATATACACATTAGGCAAAGCCACCGCCAATAGCATGAGTGGACATCAAATATACTAGTGTACAGATGTGCTGAAAGTATGAAACAATATTGATGCATCGTATGAAAAGTGACTGTCATTTTGACACTCGTTGGCAAAGAAACATTTTTTTGGTTCTTGGCAAGAGGTAAAAAAAAATCCTACTGGGGATTTTCCTTTCTCCTAATTTGGGAAGGCTGGGCAAAAGACGCTCGTTCACCAAACATCAACTATGAAAGTGGTCACGCACAGAATGTCTATAGGTTCACAAAACCTTCCTGTAGACAGTACCTTAATTTCATTTAAAAAAAAGTATATTGATGTTGAGCGGGAATGTGAATTGCTTGGAGAGGCCTGGTAAGAACTATGCTCTAAGTATTAATTTCAATTCCATGTAATTAGTTTGGGAATGAAGTACAGATTGTGTGACAAGGATTATATTGTCATATTACTGGAACATTTAACTCTTATGTAGAGTCTGTACCCATAGAATTTTAACTGCTGTTTTGGCCACATTGAAAAATACAGCTGGAGAGAGTTAGGCCAAGCTCTCAACTCGAAGATCTACATAAATAGAGCATAGAGAGGATAATAATGAAGCTATGACAGTGGAGTAACTTGTCAAGTGGATGGAGGTGTACCAATAAAGCTATGATATCCCTAATGATGGTTCAAGGTAAAAAAAATCTAAACTTGGAACCAAGTTTGTTAGAAAAGGCTTGCATAAGAAACATGTAAATACTACACTTTATTCCTTTCTATCTCTACAATCATAATCTTGCAATGAACAATATTGGGTAAGCCAAATTTAACTCCTGGCAATCCATATTCTGGCTCGACTCAAGTCAAACATCTTTCAAGAATTGTTAACATAGACAAACCTTTGTAAACAATATGTAATCTTCAGGGGGTTTTAGTGCCAAAACTTAATCCACACGCTTCTATCATACATCACAAGCTAATTATGCTC